TCAACTGCAGCGGTATTTCTCAACTTCAAGGTTACGACCCCAGAAGTTCTTGGGGGAATTGTTAACAAATACCCCCCACACACACACACGCACTTTAAAAAGTATATTTTTATCAAGGTTTTCTAGCTGCCTCCTGACAGCAAGAAGAAATAACAATTTATACCTGCAGCCAGTAATTATAGCCAGCCTTCCTGCCCCAGCTTTGCGAGAACTCAATACCGAAACTGAAGAGCTGTGCTACACTTGGCAGGGAGGAGAAGAAAAAGCAGTGCAGAGCAAGACACCAGCACAGACATGTAGGAATCTTAACAAGCTCTGTATTCTCTAGGTTTTTGCAAGGACTGAAACACAGCACCTTCCTCCTTGCTCCATGGCACATGAAAGGTCACAGCAAAAGCCACCAGCTGCTGGCATGCGGCTTGTGCTGCATAAGATGAGTCTGGCTATCCCCAACGTTTTCCAGGTCTCCAGTTTGGTCCTATTGCCTTCTGCAGCACTGCGAGTCCCACCTGCTACTCTCCAGTAAGGGGATAGGTGAGAAGTAACCCCCAATTTATCACGTTCTGTTATTTCTCATTGTCCCATGCGAGCTCAAGCACACATGCTCAAGCATTTTCATCACAACTCACACTAAAGCTACTGATATTTTTGAATTTTACTACAATGCAGCTCTGCTGGCATTCTTATAGCAGTGTTTAGTGTGCAGATATCCCATTAAAACCACAGACAGATGAAGTCTTCCCCTGCATATTCCAGTGAATTTAATATTCATAGCCACATGCCATTGCAATACAGCTTAAACCAGGGGCATCCAAGAACCCTTTCGAACAACAATTAGGACATGCAGTCTTAGGGAATACATGTGTTCTTTGATGCACTGCCACATAATGCATACTGAAAACACGAGAGAGGAAAAACCAGCATGAGAAAACACAAGAAAAAACAAGTTTGCATTGGCCAGATGGCTAGATAATTAAAAGTCAAAGTATAAAGTTATCTTATTTTTAACTGAGTTCATGAAAAAAAGACCTTCCAATCAGCCAAACTGAATGTCAGGAGAGCTGATCTCCTAAGGCAGTTGAAGCAGGAACATAGAATTCTGAAGAGAAACAAGATGCATGCAGTCTCATTCTCCTTAGTTCCATAGTGACTACAGAAGACGACAAACTGCCAGCAGATTGAAAAGCTAATGGACTGCATGCTTTGAAAAAGGGAAAAAAAACAAAGCCACACACATATATAACTTTGGTGTGTCTCAGTACACAGCTGAAGAAAAGCAAGCAGCAGGAATACACCCAAGATATGAATGCTATCTTTTTCTATTTATACTAGAGCTTTGAAGTCTCCAAAATGTTAAAAAGAAAAAAAATGTAAAATACATGAGAGAGTTCCATTTTATGTTGTTTCAGCCTTCTCCTAATTGAAAGGTCACTACCATGTTGAGAACAACTTTCCAAGAATTTCAGAAAATGCACCAATACCTTCTGATTCAATAGCATAAAATATACACACATGCAAACACAGGATGCAAGAAAAAAAAAATCACTATATGGACAGGAATTGGCTCCTACAACATTTAGCTTAATTAACTGCTTTCTATTCAGTCACCTGTAATCACAAGGAAGATCCTAGCAGGTATCCATTAAGCACACTCACCAGGAAAAGCTTACTGGGATGTTCTAAGAGAACAGAGATTTACAGAGTGATAGATAAACAGATAAAATAAGAAAGAAATATTTTTCAGTTAATTCTTCTATGATAAACTGAAAGTCTGCAAATAGTATCTGTGGTCTAGTCACTTAAGTTACTACATTGAAAACAAACCACTGGCAAGCAACATGCTGCTCCTTCTATACTTCTAACTCTGTACTCCCCAAAAATATCTGCAACTAAAGCAGAACAGAACTTCCATCTAGACTGAAAGCCAGAATGGAAACTGGGGAGTGAGAAAGGCATAAGCCTTATTCTGTTCTGAGAAGTCCTGAAGATAACAAGAAGAATCTACTGAAAGCCATGATAGTCTTAATTACTAATGTAATTTTGTTTTGTGCACTTTGATGCATTTCTGGATTTTAAAATATTTTGTGGGAGCACTTCAGCCTTGTTCAATAAAACTTTCCCCATAAGCAGCAAAAAAAACTTCCAAACACGCTGCTCTACCAGTATTTTTCGCTCTGCTATGGAAAAACTACAGTGCTGCATCTCTAAAGAGAGCACAGTAACTCACTTGGACCTCTTTTCTGAGCTTACCACCAACTTTACAGTATTTTAGTTGATGTGTGACGTGGAAGTGGAACTGAAAGCCATGTTCACTTCACATAAACACCACAGTCAGCGGGAAAAGAAAACATTTCTGTGTACTCAGCCAGCTGGACTCACCCAGCAATTTACCTGTCAAAGACACATACTGGCAATGCCCAAAGGGAGAAACAGTTCTCAGAGGAAGAGCTCCTGCAAGGGTGACAGCACTGCAATTCTCTCTGAAGCTTTACCTTGGAATTTACTGCATTTGAAGTGAGTCAGTCAAAACCTGCAATTATTTCTACATTCTTCATCTGACAAAGATGGAAAAGCTACTCATAGGTTACCAGACTCAGAGCCTTCAGACCACTAGTTCAGACCCTTTCCAACTAGTAAATCATATGAAAACTCACTCATTTACTCTGCAGAAAGTAGTTAAAAAACAAGACACACACACACACACCAAACAGGCATCAAATTGAAAGTCCACCAGACTTCTGCTTCAAGGTCAGACCCCACCTCCAGCAAGACCAACTTTAATGCTGGTGCTGCCCCACTGCCTCTTAGCTAAGGTCTGCCCCCCAACTCCCAAAGTGGCATTTGCCAGAGACGAGGAGTAGTGGTGGCTCTTCTCAGTTCGCTCTGGCTAGAACTGGAGGTATTTCACACAGTCCTTCAACACTACACTTAAAACAGTATAAGGGCAAAACACAGTGGATGAGGGGAAAAAAAAAAGAAAAAAACTTTTTACTCAAAAGATGCAGGTCTTCTTATCTTAAATGTATTATAAAGTTGGTAACTCCCATGGAAAATTCATCTCAACAAACCAAACCAAAACAGACAAAATAACACACCACACAAGACACACAAGCAACCTGGAGTTTCAATTGGGACAATAAATCATTTTTTTTTTCTCCCCCAAGAAAAAAAAAAAAAAGGCTTCGCAAAAAATAATCTGTACTTACAGCTCTTCATGCCAGTAAGATACAGACTTTCATTCTCCCCTCCTCCCTGCATTCTGGCATTCCATAAACCAGGGCATTCAACCTTGCAGAAGCACATGCTGAGAACAGTTCTCCTACTGCATTTTTAGAAATTACTGTGCTCCAACATGAGCAAACACCAAATTAGAACTGACGCTTAATGAAACTCATACAAGTGATATTGGAAGCAAATATGCCCAGAAAACAAATATGCCTTAAGGCATACAAGGTATACAAGTACCTTAGGGGAGAATGTAGCGAGGATGGGGCCAAACTCTTCTTGGTGGTGGCCAGTGACAGGACAAGGGGAAACGGGTACAAGTTGAAACACAGGAAGGTTCATTTCCACGTGAGGAAGAACTTCTTTCCTGTGAGGGTGCCAAAGCCCTGCAACAGGCTGCCCAGAGAGGCTGCGGAGTCTCCTTCTCTGGAGACCTTCAAAACCCGCCTGGATGCCACCCTGTGCCATGTGCTCTGGGTGTCCCTGCTGGAGCAGGGCGGTTGCAGTAGGTGAGACCTAGAGGTGCCTTCCAATCTCAACCATTCTGTGATTCTGTGATCCTTTTTCTTTTCCTTTCAGAACCTCAACTAACCCATAGCCATGCCACATGACAAGATTTCCCTGCATAAAGCTTCCTATTTTAAAAAAGTAACTAGTTGCCAGCAGGACAAGGGAGGGGATCCTTCGCCACCCTGCAGCCCTGGAGAGACCACAGCTGAGCACTGGGCCCAATCCTGAGCTCCCCAGGATAGGTGACCCACGGGTCTCCTAGAGATCGGCAAAGGGCCATGAAGGTGGCTGAGGGACTGGAGCATCTCCCCATCACGTGAGGAGAGGCTGAGCATGCTAGGATTGTTTAGCCATCAGAGAGCTAAATACCTAATATGAGTATAGGGAAGGGAATTGGACTCTTCTCAGTGGTATCCAGTGCCAGGACAACAGCTAATGGCACAAACTGAGACACGAGAAACTCCATTAAACCCAAGGACTTTTTTTTTTTTTTTTTTAAGGGGGTTTAAAGGGTTAAAAAAAAAAAAAACACCACTCAGAGTGGTTGAGAACACCAGAACAGCCCAGAGAGGTGGCAGAGCCCCCATCCCTTGAGATATTGAGAACTTAGCTAGCCCTGGTCCCAAGTAACCTGCTCTAGGTGACCCCGCTTTGAGCAGTGGGGCTGGGGCTAGACTAGATGATCAAGAGGCCTCTTCCAACCTTGACCTCGCAATTGAGATTCTATGTGTACATATATATACACACACACGTACAGACATGATGATTATATTTTGTTCTGGTAAATGAACTTGGACAAATCAGCCAAAATTAAGACTGTCTTTTGTGCAAGTTTTTTCCCCCTTTTTATTTTTTTTTTAAAAAAAAGAATTTGACAGTGTTCCTAAATTAGAACCCCTTAGTTCTATAGTTTCATAGATTTACTGTTAGATATAAAATATAACCTGGATTCATTTCTTCCTCTATCAAGTATAGGAAATTGCAACTGTATAGAGAAGATACAGTATTCAGTATCATTCCTAAAAGTCTTTACTGTAGTTACTGCTCCATACTTGCAACAATGTGTATTCGTTTTTCCCTCCTGTGCAATAACACAGTTTCTTGTAAAAAAACATTTGTTACGTTTTAATTTTTAACCTTCATAAAAACTGTTCAATTCTATGAAAAACGTGTTTTAACTTAAATAAGAGGCAAAACGGAGCATTCAATCCAAGTATGAAATTTTTGAAGTACTACAAAGAAAAATCCATGTGGTTTGAACCTACCTTTCTGCAATAATTTGACCTCCCCGTTTTCTTTCTTGATTTCATTCATTATTTTGTGCTTCTTCTTCTCTTTTTGCTTCTTATCCCTTTCTTTTATTTTGTCTTTGATTTGAGCTGAAATGCAAATATTTTAAAATTAAGTGGGAACAGAAAACTTTAACTGTCATTGTCCCATGCATGTTTCATATTACTCTTATGCAAGCCCTATTAAGAGGATAAAAGGAGTTATGAGGAAATCCCAGGACTTATAGCAGAAAAGCTAATATTTATCTATTGTGTAATCCAACATAAACTTATTGAACCCAGACAAGTTTTGTTTCTGTTACACTAGAACTGCATGCAACGACTCAGCACTAACTGTATGTAGTCAAGAGAGCAAGTTTTGCTTCCTCAGTAATACTACACTTTTCTCAGCTTCCTTCAGTAAGCAACTCTCATTTCTTGAGATTCAAATTAAATGTGTAAGTGCAGAAAAAGGGAAATATGTAACAGTCCAGTTCTTGGATGTGTGTAGGCACTAAAAGCTCTACACAGCTATCCCCATATATTCTAAACTTGCTTGTGCTTTCAATTACTAAGTAGTTTGAAATAAACACTTCAACCAAATCTGTCACCCGCAAGATCATTTACATTAATTTACAGGTTACACTAGTGTATTAACAACAGTAAGACGTAATTAGAGTCAAATATGAAATGGAAAGGGAACTAATCATAGAATGCTTAAGGTCATCTAGTCCAACCCCCCTGCACACGCAGGGTCACCTAGAGCACGTGGCACAGGGTGGCATCCAAGCGGGTTTTGAAGATCTCTCCAGAGAAGAAGACTCCACAACCTCTCTGGGCAGCCTGTTCCAGTGCTCTGTCACCCTCACTGTTAAGAAATTTTTCCTTAAGTTCCTGTGGAACTTTTGGTGCTTCAGTTTCTGGCCATTTCCTCTAGTTCTGTTGGTGGTCACCAGTGAAAAGAGGCCAGCACCATCCTCCTCACCGCCTCCCTTGAGGTACTTATAGACACTGATCAGGTCCCCTCTCAGCCTTCTCTTCTCCAGGCTGAACAGGCCCAGCTTCTTAACGCACCCCAGGATTCCATTAGCCTTCTTGGCCACGAGGGCACACTGATGCCTCATGGTCAACTTATCGTCCACCATGACACCCAGGTCTTTCTCCGCAGAGCTGCTCTCCAGAAGGTCAGTCCCCAGCCTGTACTGGTGTCTGGGGTTATTCCTCCCCAGGTGCAGAACCTTGCACTTGGCCTTGTTGAATTGCATGAGGTTTTTCACCGCCCAGTTGTCCAGTCTGTCCAGGTCTCTCTGGATGGCAGCGCAGCCCTCTGGGGTATCAGCTCCTCCTCCCAGTTTGGTATCATCAGCAAACTTGCTGAGGGAGCACTCTGTGCCTTCATCCAGGTCATTGATGAATAAATTAAACAGGACTGGACCGAGGACTGACCCCCGGGGGACACTGCTAATTACAGGCCTCCAACTAGACTCAGACCCATTTATCATGGCCCTCTGGGTTCTGCCATCCAGAATGGCAACTAATTACACTTAGTACTCATTGAAAAAAAAATAAAATGTATTTGCACAGCAGATAAATATTCTGGTGTCTCCCTTGCTTGCCCAAAAATCGACATCAGTACATTCCGTGTGGTTCTCTACATGAAAATATTAGACCCTCTGGAATTCATAGTTTCAAGGACTAATCTTTTTTAGACAAGATTAGTTTCGAGTTCATGCATTTAAGCCTAGGTAAAAATAATTTCTTCAGATTCCTCGCAACCAGTACTTCACAAATGGTTTCTTAGTCTGAAACTATGCCCCTACTTTAAGAGTTTATTAGGCTTTTTAACCTCTGGAAGGAGAGGTGAAATCTGATTTCCTGCTTTTACATAATGCTACGTTTAGATACCTTGATACCTAGCCTAATGCTTTCTCAGAAAGACCACTGATAAACAACCCTAATGTTTAATTTATAGTACTTCCATTATAAGCCCCAGAAAGAAGCAAGGAGAAATCTAACCACCTTTCCTCAAACATTCACCTCAAATAGGAGCAGGAGACATCTTCACTTGTAATAGACTTAAATTCATCAAAACTAAAAGGGCTCCTTCACATCTAGAGGTCAATATATGGTGTTCCATATCTATCAACACATTCCATAAATAACTTTCTTAACAAAGAGATGCAGAAAGCTAACAATAATCCACACAAATGATTACACTTAGCAATACTTCCCCAGTACCCATATCAGTCCTTCCAGGAGTTTTCTAATAAAGCTATATTAATTGATGAAAAATGATGAGAAAAAAGAGTAAACAGCAAAAAAGAGACAATAACTGATATATGACTGACTATGTCCAGACCAGGATAAGCAATGGAGAGAAACCATCCTGGCACAAAGATTATTAGGAATAAACTGTCCATGATTAAAATTGTCCAAAAATCTTTGCTTCAAGCAACTGACAGAGTCAAGTTAAAAAAAATAGCCTCGCAGCTCAAGAGCTGGCAAGGAGGTGGTCCATGTGCCTGTATGGCAGTCAGGACAATCCAGGCGATTTTGTCCACACTCCAAACTCCTACTATAGACAGAACTTCTTCTCCAGCCTGTTCCCTCCCCAGCCCCACCCCCTCCCCCTCAAAAAAAGTGTTTTCTAAATCCCCTCAAAATCTGAAACTCAAAACTCAACTCAAAAACATGAAACAAGAAATCATACAGGAGTTGAACACTGTTAAAGCACAGAGCCACTGACTAAGCAGGCAGTAACAGGAGACTTGATTTATAATCAGTCCAACCAGGATTATCATCATGAGAAGACTTAATTTTACCTCATATTTGCATATTGTTAAGAGGCACACTTGAATCCTAAGTAATAACAGAAGTCAAAGAAAGACTGAAGAGCATATACAAATGCTGAGCCTTGTTGAGAGAGGCTGAGAGCAAGACTGAAAGAAGCCCTTTATTGCAGTCTCATGAATGGTATCACAGACCAATGAATCTTGCAAATTTGTCAGAAGCAACATTAAGAAAGACAAAAAGCTGAAATGTTATAAAGAGCCTCTAGTTTATTTTCACATCTTGAAAGCAATTAGGAGACAAAAAGAAAAGGGGGGAGGACAAGCAATGTCCTATGATAGGCTCTGGGAATATTTGCAAGTAAGTCAAAGTACCTCAGTGACTAAAAGTGACACGTAAAGGCAGCTGAGGAAGGTTTGAAAAATAAAGTTAAACTACTGCTCCTCTTAAAAATATAGATACAGAAATATCACTTTACTACAATCAGATCAAAGAACAGCCTGATGCGAGTCAAGAACAGTAATGAATCCCAAATAAAACATACAAATTCTAAGGCTTCTTTCCCCACAGCAAATCAGCAAATATATACAACTAATAGATGATGGAATTTTCCTTTTAAAAAAAGGGGGGAGGAGGGAGGAAGCAAAACATAATTTAACATTATGAAGAAGTCTATGCTGACATGAGACTCAAAGTCATTGTATGACTTTGCACTCAGTCTTATTTCTCTAATGTGTTCTGTTTAGAAGTTTGAAAAAGGAAAAAAAAAAAAAAAAAACAAACATTTTCTAGTCTGACCAGCAGAACTCAAGGAGATCTTGCCCACAAATTACTTCCTCAGCAGCACATTTTTGGTTTCACAGCTTACAATGGGATGCAGAAGTAATCTTATTCAAATCTGGAGCAGTTTTCAGTTTACCACAAAATCTACTTCATCTTGTCTATACCGGTTTGCAAAGTCGGTAAGTTTAGAAGTTCCAGTAGTCATTCAAGTCAATAAATTCAATGAACACAGGCATATGGCACAGAGATCTGCAAGGAAAGGCAAGTGAGGTTTTCCAAATACATACAAATATACAGAAATTGTATCTCCATATATTCTACATCCGTTGGCGCAGTATGTTCCTATCATATGAAGCTGACACAGTTTAACACAGGCTGGAGCTCTTAGGGACTCTCCAGTAGCAAGACCTCTTATAGCTTCTTCTCTAATATAAAGCACTACTGTCCCCAAGTCATATACCATGTCAGCCCAAATGTCACTTGCTCACAAGAAAATTCTTCTCATTAACAAAAAAAATCTGTTTTTAAAATGAATGCATCCAGTATTAGACAACCATATCTCCATATGCTATATAAAATATTTTTACAAGATTGTATATGTATTTTATGTATTTATTATTTACTGCATGTGTAGTTTATGAAGATATAGTCTAATATTTCACTTGCTTTTTTTTCCTCTTAAATCCTACTTTATCTCATTGAAACAGGAAAAACACATGAAGTTTTAAGTGTTAGCATTTCAGTCTCCTGGGGAGGAGGCGGGGGGAAAGAGGAGTGATTCATGGTAGCATGACTGACATCTCAAGCAACAATATGAAAAGGCATCTATAGAAGATACCAACATAAAATGTAGTTCAAGTAGTCTCTCTGGGAAAAATCCAGGAACTACCCTACCACACAAACTTAAAAGTAATAGTTTCTGGTTTTCTTTTTTCCAGCACCTCAGCTGTACCAAAATTCTTAATCTTAAAATAATCCATGAACCTAACCATACCTAATTCTCAACATGGCACGGAAGATCTGAACAAAGATGATCTTGTTTCTCCCTCTATATTGTACAGAGACAGCTGGTGGCCATTTCTCACCAGCCTGATGCTACCGCCCAGTCATGTTCTCATGACACGGAGTGTCCAAAGAAGCCAGTGGCCCACAAACTATTGCCTTGCTCTTCAGAAGATCATTTCCAGGGACATCGCTTCCATAAGCAAAAGTCACATTAAGCTACATTTGTCACTGTTTTCTAACATTTAGGCAAACCTTATTCCTTCAAGAGACAATTGTTACTTGTTATTTTTTATTACATATAAATATTTTGTTTCATTATTACACCATATTAAATCTTAAAGGCTTCTCCTACTGATTTTACTATGTACTTTTTCAGTGGGTACATATATTTCCTGTTCTGAAATAAATACAATCTAAATAAAAACAAAGTCACAAGCATGAAGAAGTGTGTATCCCACAGAAGGAGGGAAGACCTCTACATCTTTTCACAAAGAAATTTCTCCCTATAAAAACAC